AGTGACACCCCTGCTTTTCATTGGGGGGATGGTGCATCGTCTGCCAAGTCTTTTGCTTTCGTAGTGGGTGATTTTCGTGTGCAAGTTCGGTACTAGTCCCTCTAGGATTTTCCAGGTGTATATAATCATGTATCTCTCCCTCCTGCGTTCCAGGGAATACAGGTTTAGGAACCTCAAGCGCTCCCAATAATTGAGGTGTTTTATCTCCGTTATGCGCGCCCTGAAAGTTCTCTGTACATTTTCTAGGTCGGCAATTTCACCTGCCTTGAAAGGTGCTGTTAGTGTGCAGCAATATTCCAGCCTAGATAGAACAAGTGACCTGAATATACCACTGTGGATAAAATACTTTGCCATTTCTTGAACATTTCTGAGTGAGTTGTTTCTAAATTCATTAATTTTATCACACTCCAGTACATAATGACGCAGGGTGTGACAATAATCCATCGGGCAAAGTTTACATTTCGTTTGGTCTACATCTGGTTGTGGTGATTTAACCTGCCAAAGATACTTGTAACCCAGCCGGAGCCGGGCGGTAGTGACATCCAAGAGTCTGCTTATTTTGTTGGATGCACCATAGACATGTGGCTCCTCCTGCATGATAGAATGATGATAGATGGACTGACTTGTGTCAATCTCCCTAAGTCTTAAGTCAATAAAGTTCAATTGAAGTTCTTTTCGTATTATTGTTCTCAAACTACTACCTGACAAGCAAGATTATAATCTACTCCATCTTTGAAAGCATACAGCTTAGCCAATTTATCAGTTCTATCATGCATCTGAAGACCAATGTGAGATGGAATCCACAGCATGTGCACTCTGACTCCACTGTCCACAATCTTACCATACCTGTGTCTGGCTTCTGACACAAGCATGCCACAATTTATACTTGAGTTGAGAGCATTTATGGATGACAGAGAATCAGTTACAATTAAAGTGTCAACCTTAGATACATGGACACATTTGAGTGCAAGGAGTATGGCAAACAGTTCTGTTTGAAGGGTAGAGGCCTTCTTCGTTTCTGTAGCTTTTTCATAGTATCTAATAGCTTCTTGCTGATTGTACGCAAATACTGTCTCTTTGAGTGAGGCATTGTGTAAGAAATTTTAACAATATAAGACAAAATTACGCATCCCAAAGGTCTGCTGTGGTCACACAGAGCGGGTTACATCCCCCTTCTTTTGATCCTTGGTTGGCACTCAGCCGCGGTCTAGCAGCTGCACATACAGCCACCCACAGGGTTACCAATTTGTATTTTGAAGCATTTGGCACAAAAATGTGAAAAAAAAAATTAAAAAATATCTAAAAATGACAACATATTATTATCATTAATATTATATTGTATTATTATTATTATTATTATTATTATTATTATTATTATTTTTGTTATTATTATTATTATTATTATTTTTTTATTATTATTATTATTATTTTTATTATTATTATTATTATTATTATTTATTATTATTATTATTATTATTATTATTATTTTTATTATTATTATTATTATTATTATTATTATTATTATTGTTGTTGTTGTTATTTTATAATAATAATAATAATAATAATAGTAATAATAATAATAATCATCATAATTTACCTGGAGAGGGATTCGGGGGTCAACGCCCCCGGTGCCCGGTCTAAGACCAGACCTTATGGTGATAATGATGATGATACTAATACAATATAATAATAATAATAATAATAATAATAATAATAATAATAATAATAATAATAATAATAACTTCAAAAGACTGCCAGCAGTTGGCGCCACCATCAGCAAAACATTGGTAACCACTGCTAGTATATTTTTCACCTGTCTAGTCTATAAGTCTTAGGTTAAGTCTGGCCGAAATGCCTCAGCATGATAGTGGCTTTCTTTGTACCAATTATATTATGATATGTAAACACACACTGTAACCTTTGCAAAGAAATAAATAGTTTATTTATTTGTTTATTTATTTAAGGAACCTCCCTTGAGGGGGAAGTTCGCATCCTGAAATTTCATTCGTGTCCAGAAGCAAAAAATCGGCCAAAAGACGGTTTGTATCCTGAAAATTTTGCATGAAGGGTGTTCGTAAGCCGAGGTTCCACTGTATTGTAATCTTTATTAACTAATTCAGTAGTGTAAAAAGTCTCTACCAGACTTTTCAAAACCATCTAACATCATCTGATATAGTATTCATTTCTCCTGTACTCACTCTCATTCATCTAATAAGATAAGGTTTCGTTCGGATTTTTAAGCCCGGAGGGTTAGCCACCCAGGATAACCCAAGAAAGTCAGTGCGTCATCGAGGACTGTCTAACTTATTTCCATTGTGGTCCTTAATCTTGTCCCCCAGGATGCGACCCACACCAGTCGACTAACACCCAGGTACCTATTTGCTGCTAGGTGAACAGGTGTAAGGAAACATGTCGAAATGTGTCCACCCGCCGGGAATCGAACCCGGGCCCTCCGTGTGTGAAGCGGGAGCTTCAGCCACCAGGCCACCGGACCACCCGGGCCACTAATAACCATATGAACTATGTATTATTGCCTTACTATTCTTAAGTTAATCTTTAAGTTTGCCCAAAATACTCAGCCTACAGAGGGGCTTTTGGTAAGTACACCCAACTATTATATTCCTCTGAACAACCATCTAATTTGTCAAAATAAAAAATCTAAATTTAATCTAAAGGTGAGGGAACCTTACAGGTTTGTTACAACACGAAGTTTACTGTACCTGTAATTAATTACAGGGACACAGTCCTGGCAGTTTGGTCCTAGACCAGGTCTTTTTATAAAAGGAAAGAATAATTATTGCTTTGGTTACAATCATACGTGTTACTATGAGTCAGTTATAAATAGATTCAACATGAACACTAGAACACTGTGGAGTAACAAAGGTCTCAAGACCATAATGAACACTAGAACACTGTAGAGTAACAAAGGTCTCAAGACCATAATGAACACTAGAACACTGTAGAGTAACAAAGGTCTCAAGACCATAATGAACACTAGAACACTGTAGAGTAACAAAGGTCTGAAGACCATAATGAATATTAGGACACTCTGGAGTAACCTAGGACTAAGACCATAATGAACACTAGAACATTGTAGAATAACAAAGGTCTGAAGACCATAATGAACATTAGGACACTCTGGAGTAACCTAGGACTAAGACCATAATGAATATTAGGACACTCTGGAGTAACCTAGGACTAAGACCATAATGAACACTAGAACACTAGAGTAACAAAGATGTCCAGACAAAACTTTTGCAATACAATGTCCCAATGTTTGCATTTTGTGTCTTTTTCCAACAATTATATTTTTTTTTATATAATAGATAGGGGAAGAAGAACCAGAAAGGTTAGACTAACTTATATACTGTAAACACCTCTATGATTTAAGTATCTTTATCACTGTTATCTTATTCAATATTACATCTTGCTCGTCTCCATTAATATTACATCTGGCTCGTCTCCATTAATATTACATCTTGCTCGTCTCCATTAATATTACATCTGCTCGTCTCCATTAATATTACATCTTGCTCGTCTCCATTAATATTACATCTTGCTCGTCTCCATTAATATTACATCTGGCTCGTCTCCATTAATATTACATCTGGCTCGTCTCCATTAATATTACATCTTGCTCGTCTCCATTAATATTACATCTTGCTCGTCTCCATTAATATTACATCTGGCTCGTCTCCATTAATATTACATCTGGCTCGTCTCCATTAATATTACATCTTGCTCGTCTCCATTAATATTACATCTGCTCGTCTCCATTAATATTACATCTTGCTCGTCTCCATTAATATTACATCTTGCTCGTCTCCATTAATATTACATCTTGCTCGTCTCCATTAATATTACATCTTGCTCGTCTCCATTAATATTACATCTTGCTCGTCTCCATTAATATTACATCTTGCTCGTCTCCATTAATATTACATCTTGCTCGTCTCCATTAATATTACATCTTGCTCGTCTCCATTAATATTACATCTGGCTCGTCTCCATTAATATTACATCTGTGCTCGTCTCCATTAATATTACATCTTGCTCGTCTCCATTAATATTACATCTGGCTCGTCTCCATTAATATTACATCTGGCTCATCTCCATTAATATTACATCTGGCTCGTCTCCATTAATATTACATCTTGCTCGTCTCCATTAATATTACATCTTGCTCGTCTCCATTAATATTACCATCTTCATCTCGTCTCTCATTAATATTACATCTTGCTCGTCTCCATTAATATTACATCTGGCTCGTCTCCATTAATATTACATCTGGCTCGTCTCCATTAATATTACATCTTGCTCGTCTCCATTAATATTACATCTTGCTCGTCTCCATTAATATTACATCTTGCTCGTCTCCATTAATAGCTAAAATGGAAATGTCTGACCTTGTATTATTATCTATTATTATCATCATTATCTTTGTCCTCTAAAGGATCTTGTAAATTGTATTGAATATATATATGTATAATCTTCCTGAAAGGGTTACTTCCTCCTATCCTCTTAGGCCCAGTCATTTATATTCTTAAAGCTACGTAAGGCACCTGACTCTGCCACTCTAACTGATCTTCTAAGTTGTATTGAATATATATATATGTATAATGTTTTAGCTGTGTTATTATAAATTATGAGAGGTTAGGGTTTAATGGTTCATCTCCCTTTTGGGTATATTGCTTAAACACTACTTCTCTCCCCCTACCCCTCTTTCCAGTGTGTGTGTGTCACGTGACCCCACTTGACTCCAGCCATTGTTTGCTTGGCTTAAGCAGTTGGGTTTCGCCCTATGACTAGACCACATCTAGTTGGCCATTATACTCTCAAGTTGAGAATTTTCCAATAGCTTGAGAGGCTATAGATTCACTTAACTGTTCTTTGAGTGATTACTGAGATAAACTTAACCATTTACGTCACTCTGTGTAGAGATGGAAGACTTCTATTATTGAAATAATAGGATATAATATATGCCTTAATTTATATAACTGATAATTATTTCCTGGAGAAAGTTATAAAATATCTTACCATTTATTAAGAGTGCTGAGAATTGTACAAATGTATACGTATTGGTTAAAGGTTCATGTGATACAAAGTACATTATTATGATATTCCAGGGATATATATTAAAATTACATATTCTCTTTTATTTAAGCAAAGTGGATTTGTTTCATTAAAAATAAGTTTTTTTTTTAATAATCATTAAATCAAAGCCCCTCTCAAATTCTCTGTCAGAATTGTTACATCTGTCTTACCTGTAGAGTTTACCTGGAGAGGGTTTTAGGGGTCAGTGCCCCTGCAGCTGGGTCTGAGACCAGGCCTCATGGTGGATCAGGAACTGATCAATCAGGCTGTTATTGCTGGTCACATCCAAGCTGATATACAAACCACAGTGTAGTTGGTCAGGTACTGACTTTAGGTGACTGTCCAGTGCCTTCTTGAAGACAGCCAGGGGTTTATTGGTAATCTCCCTTATGTATGCTGGGAGGCAATTGAACAGTCTTGGGCCCCAGATGCTTATTTTGTTTTCTGCTTTTCATTGAAGAATGTTGCATCTCCTGCCGAGTCTTTTGATTTCATATGGAGTGATTTTCGTGTGCAGGTTTGGTACCAATCCCTCCAGGACCTTCCAAGTGTATATTATCATGTATCTCTCTCGTCTGCGTTTGAGGGAATACAGATCAAGGACCTTCAACCGTTCCCAGTAGTTTAGGTGCCTTATCGCACTTATGTGTAAGGTGAAAGTTCTTTGTACACTCTCCAGGTCTGCAATGTTGCCAGCCTTGAAGGGGGCCGTTAGTGTACAGCAGCATTCCAGCTTAGAGAGCACAGCAAGTTTGAAGAGAATCATCATGGGCTTGGTGTCCCTAGTTTTGAAGGCTCTCATTATCCATCCCATCATTTTCCTAGTGGATGACGTAGATACATTGTTGTGATCTTTGAAGGCGAGATCCTCTGACATTAACACTCCCAGGTCCTTCTTGGTTCTTCTTGGGCTGATATCCAGGAAATATCACTAAGGGAAGCCCAAAGTAAAGAGTAAGATGCAACACAAACATATAACTTACTATTGCCATCCTTCTGCAACATTTGCAATGTTCTAGTCAGTCATGCTCAAAATAAAAAATCTGTGCCATACCATGCATACTTGCTGAATTTTTTTTTTTTAATGAACTAGTCATATAACACCGAGGCAGGGTGACGAAAAACGAAAAACGAATGCTTTTCTTTTTAAATTTAGTAAATTATACAGGAGAAGGGGTTGCTAGCCCCTTGCTGCCAGCATTTTGGTCACTTTCTATGACACACATGGGGCCAGGAGCTGAGTCTCGACCCCTGCAACCACAATTAGGTGAGTACATGGCTTACAGAGGAAGAATTCTGTTCCACTTCCCCATACAGATTAAAGAAGAAAGAAACAATAACTAAAAATATAAAAGAAGAAAATCGAGAAGGTATGTATATATATTATATAAAATATATATATAATATATATATATATATATATATATATATATATATATATATATATATATATATATAATATATATATATAATATATATATACATACATACATATATATACATACCGTATATATATGCAATATATTCGGTACTCAAACTTAATTCGTTCCAGAGTGCCGATCACTTCAAGTACTGAATTAATTTTTCCCATCAGGAATAATTAATAATTCATATCTGTTGCGACTCAAACCAATACTCTTTTTGGTTGGCTGTTATCACTAATCTTCTTAGGCCCAATGGTGACTTATTTATTCAAATAATATTTAAAAACAGCAAAAAAAATGTGAAGAAACACGAAATAGTTTCGAGCAAAGTTTAGCGGAGTTTTGCACTAAGCGACACCTGCAGGGAGACTGACACACAATGTTTGGTCGAGTTCTGAGCAAACGGTCGACTACTGAGCGATTTTTATTTATTTTACAAAGCGTTCTAATACCAAATTGTTGGAGTTCGGAGTTAAGTATCGAGGTACTACTGTATATGCATGTACATTGGACCCTCGGTTATCGGCCGTAATCCATTCCAGAAGCTCGGCCTAAAGCCAAAATGGCCGAAAAATAAAAAAAACCATAAGAATTAATGTAAACGCAATTTATCTATTCAAGGAAAAAATACTCACAAAAAATGTTTTTTTAATAATTAAATGAGTATTACATACATTTATTGACCTTCTGAAATGCCTGCTACACTCCCTGCATGCCTGCTACACTTCCTGCATGCCTGCTACACTACCTGCATGTCTGCTACACTCCCTACATGTCTGTTACACTCCCTGCATATCTGCTACACTCCCTGCATGCCTATTACACTCCCTGCATGCCTGTTGCACTCCCTGCATGCCTGCTACGCTCCCTGCATGCCTATTACACTCCCTGCTTGCCTGCTACACTTCCTGCATGCCTGCTACACTTCCTGCATGTCTGCTACACTCCCTGCATGCCTGTTATACTCCTTGCATGCCTGCTACACTCCCTGCATGCCTGTTACACTCCCTGCATGCCTGCTACACTCCCTGCATGCCTGCTACACTCCCTGCATGCCTGTTACACTCCCTGCATATATGTTACACTCCCTGTATGCCTGCTACACTCTGTCCATGTCTGTTACACTCCCTGCATGCCTGCTACACTCCCTGCATGCCTGCTACACTCCCTGCATGCTTGTTACGCTCCCTGCATGCCTGCTACACTCCCTGCATGCCTGCTACACTCCCTGCATGCCTGTTACACTCCCTGCATGCCTGCTACACTTCCTGCATGCCTGCTACACTCCCTGCATGCCTGTTACACTCCCTGCATGCCTGCTACACTCCCTGCATGTCTGTTACACTCCCTGCATGTCTGCTACACTCCCTGCATGTCTGCTACACTCCCTGCATGTCTGCTACACTCCCTGCATGTCTGCTACAGTCCCTGCATGTCTGCTACACTCCCTGCATGCCTGTTACTCTCCCTGCATGTCTGCTACACTCCCTGCATGTCTGCTACACTCCCTGCATGTCTGCTACACTCCCTGCATGCCTGTTACACTCCCTGCATGCCTGTTACACTCCCTGCATGTCTGCTACACTCCCTGCATGTCTGCTACACTCCCTGCATGCCTGTTACACTCCCTGCATGCCTGCTACACTCCCTGCATGCCTGTTACACTCCTGAGTGCTACATCCCTGCATGTCTGCTACACTCCCTGCATGTCTGCTACACTCCCTGCATGTCTGCTACACTCCCTGCATGTCTGCTACACTCCCTGCATGCCTATTACACTCCCTGCATGCCTGTTACACTCCCTGCATGCCTGTTACACTCCCTGCATGCCTGTTACACTCCCTGCATGCCTGTTACACTCCCTGCATGCCTGTTACACTCCCTGCATGCCTGTTACACTCCCTGCATGCCTGTTACACTCCCTGCATGCCTGTTACACTCCCTGCATGCCTGTTACACTCCCTGCATGTCTGCTACACTCCCTGCATCCCTGATACACTCCTGCATGCCTGTTACACTCCCTGCATACCTGTTACAGTCCCTGCATGCCTGTTACACTCCCTGCATGCCTGTTACACTCCCTGCATGCCTGTTACACTCCCTGCATGCCTGTTACACTCCCTGCATACCTGTTACAGTCCCTGCATGCCTGTTACACTCCCTGCATGCCTGTTACACTCCCTGCATGCCTGTTACACTCCCTGCATGTCTGCTACACTCCCTGCATGCCTGTTACACTCCCTGCATGTCTGCTACACTCCGTGCATGCCTGTTACACTCCCTGCATGCCTGTTACACTCCCTGCATGCCTGTTACACTCCCTGCATGCCTGCTACACTCCCTGCATGTCTGCTACACTCCCTGCATGCCTGTTACACTCCCTGCATGCCTGTTACACTCCCTGCGTGCCTGTTACACTCCCTGCATGTCTGCTACACTCCCTGCATGCCTGTTACACTCCTTGCATGCCTGTTACACTCCCTACATGCCTGCTACACTCACTGCATGCCTGCTACACCCCCTGCATGCCTGCTATACTCCCTGCATGCCTGCTACACTCCCTGCATGCCTGCTACACTCCCTGCATGCCTGCTACACTCCCTGCATGCCTGCTACACTCCCTGCATGCCTGTTACACTCCCTGCATGCCTGTTACACTCCCTGCATGCCTGTTACACTCCCTGCATGCCTGCTACACTCCCTGCATCCCTGCTACACTCCCTGCATGCCTGTTACACTCCCTGCATGCCTGTTACACTCCCTGCATCCCTGCATGCCTGCTACACTCCCTGCATGCCTGTTACACTCCCTGCATCCCTGCTACACTCCCTGCATGTCTGCTACACTCCCAGCATGCCTGTTACACTCCCTGCATCCCTGCTGCACTCCCTGCATGCCTGTTACACTCCCTGCATGCCTGTTACACTCCCTGCATCCCTGCTACACTCCCTGCATGCCTGCTACACTCCCTGCATGCCTGTTACACTCCCTGCATCCCTGCTACACTCCCTGCATGCCTGTTACACTCCCTGCATGCCTGTTACACTCCCTGCATGTCTGCTACACTCCCTGCATGTCTGCTACACTCCCTGCATGCCTGCTACATTTCATGCTAAAATTTCAAAATTTTTCTCACTTTCTTTACCACAGGAACTTTACTAGGAACTTTATTTGGTGCCATGATTGCTTATTTTGCAGTTGCACTGCAAAAAACCCACAAAAAACAAAGGAAAACAAGCAAAATGTTTGGATGTTTGAGCAGAAGTTTCCTCACACACCGAGTAAAACAACCAAATTGACGTGCTGTTAGGTAAGACACATATGCAACAGTTAGGTATCTTTATTATGAAACGTTTCGTCTACACAGTAGGCTTCTTCAGTCGAGTACAGAAAAGTTGATAGAAGCAGAAGATACTTGAAGACGATGTAATCAGTCCATCACCCTTAAAGTTTTGAGGTGGTCAGTCCCTCAGTCTGGAGAAGAGCATTGTTCCATAGTATGAAACAATATGGAGATGAAGTGACAGGATGGAGCTTTATATAGCGCCAAGAGGTGAGACGTAGGTCACTAGAAGAGGTAAGAACTCAGATGTTGAGAGGTCAGGTCCCTCTCAAATCCAGCCGCTCTCACTAGTGGATGGACTGATTACGTCGTCTTCAAGTATCTTCTGCTTCTATCAACTTTTCTGTACTCGACTGAAGAAGCCTACTGTGTAGGCGAAACGTTTCATAATAAAGATACCTAACTGTTGCATATGTGTCTTACCTAACAACCTGTCGGTATTTTATACCATTTTAATGTTCAAATTGACGTGCACAAGCGGTCCCAGCTGGTGGACAGACGTGTCCGAAACGGCCGATCACCGAAATAACGGCCGATCACCGAAATAATGGCCGATCACCGAAATAACGGTTGATCACCAAAATAACGGTTGATCACCGAAATAACGGTTGATCACCGAAATAACGGCCGATCACCGAAATAACGGCCGATCACCGAAATAACGGTTGATCACCCAGATAACATTTGATCACCGAAATAACGGTTGATCACCGAAATAACGGCCGATCACCGAAATAACGGTTGATCACCGAAATAACGGTTGATCACCAAAATAACGGTTGATCACTGAAATAACGGCCGATCACCGAAATAACGGCCGACCACCAGAGCCAAAAAACTGGTTGATCACCAAGTTTGCCAATAGCAGCAACGGCCGATAACCAATGGTTCACTATACATATACATGCAATGTGACCTAAGTGTAAGTAGAAGCAGTAAATATACTTGGTATCCTGAGTGTTTATGAGACAGAAAAAAGGTACCAAAAATCCTATCACATATAAAACAATTGCAGTTTCTATTTTGCACTCACTTGGCAGGATGGTAGTACCTCCCTGGGTGGTTGTTGTCTACCAACCTACTACCACAGGACGGTAGTACCTCCCTGGGTGGTTGTTGTCTACCAACCTACTACCACAGGACGGTAGTACCTCCCTGGGTGGTTGCTGTCTACCAACCTACTACCACAGGACGGCAGTACCTCCCTGGGTGGTTGTTGTCTACCAACCTACTACCACAGGACGGTAGTACCTCCCTGGGTGGTTGTTGTCTACCAACCTACTACCACAGGACGGTAGTACCTCCCAGGGTGGCTGCTGTCTACCAACCTTCTATGTAATTTGCTGACAATACCTAGTATAGATTTAAAAATAAAAAATATTTTTTGAGCCACACAAATTAGCTAGAGCAGTTACACATTTGAAATAATTATATTTTGAATTTGACCTCAGTATAATATGATGTAATATAAGGCTCAGAAGAAAGCAACCAATCATAAGGCTTACATATTACTTATAGTTAGACCTAGTACATAATTTAATATGTGTAAGTATATATATATGTCGTGCCGAATATGTAAAACTGGACAATTAGCAAAAACTCATTTAAAATTAAGTCCTTTCTGAAATTTTCTCTTATACGTTTAGAGATATATTTTTTCCATTAATGTTAATGTAAAAAATTTTAATTTTGCGCCAAAAGAATCTTAGAAAACTTACCTAACCTTATTATAAAAAGAGCAATTTATTTTAACCTAACCCAACTAAATATATTTTAGATTTGTTTACAATAATTTGATACTAAACAAACACAGTGAAATATATATATATATATATATATATATATATATATATATATATATATATATATATATATATATATATATATATATATATATATATATATATATATATATATGTATATCTATATATATATATGTCGTGCCGAATAGGCAGAACTTGCGATCTTGGCTTTAATAGCAACGCTCATCTTGCCATATAGGACAAGTGAAAATTTGTGTATGCAATAATTTCGCCAAAATCATTCTGAACCTAACGAAAAAATATATTTCACTGTGTTTGTTTAGTATCAAATTATTGTAAACAAATCTAAATAATTTATTTTAACCTAACCCAACTAAATAGTTGGGTTAGGTTAAAATAAATTGTTCTTGTTATACTAAGGTTGGGTAAGTTTTCTAAGATTCTTTTGGAGCAAAATTAAAAATTTTTACATTAACATTAATGAAAAAAATATATCTTTAAACATATAAGAGAAAATTTTACAAAGGACTTAATATTAAATGAGTTCTTGTTAACTGACCATGCATGCACAAGTATATATAAACATACACACATCTAGGTTTTTCTTATTTTTTTCTAAACAGCTCTTATTCTTTATTTCCTCTATTTTCCTTGGGGATTTGGAAAAGAATCTTTCCTCTGTGAGCCATATGTGTCGTATGACGTGACTAAAATGCTGGGACCAGTGGGCTAGTAATCTCTTCTCCTGAAGCATTTACTAAAAATGAGAAGAAGAAAAACTTTATAAAACTGGGATGCTTGAATATGCGTGGATGTAGTGTGGATGACAAGAAAGACATGATTTCTGATGTTATGAATGAAAACAAGTTGGATCTCCTGGCCCTAAGTGAAACAGCTGAAGGGGGTAGGGGAGTTTCGGTGGGGAGAAATAAATCGAATTAAGTCAGGAGTATCTGAGAGAGTTAGAGCTAAGGAAGGGGTAGCAATAATGTTAAAGGATCGGTTATAGAAGGAGAAGAAGGGAACATAAATGTGTAGATTCAAGGATTATGGGTACTAAAATAAGGGTTGGATGCAAAAAGTGGGTCATAATAAGCGTGTATGGACCTGGAGAAGAGAGGAATGTAGAGGAGAGAGAGAAATTTTTGGAGATGTTAAGCGAATGTATAGGAACCTTTGAACCAAGTGAGAGTAATTGTGGTAGGGGACCTGAATGCTAAAGTAGGAGAAACTTTTAGAGAGGGTGTGGTAGGTAAGTTTTGGGTACCAGGTGTAAATGATAATGGGAGCCCTTTGATTGAACTTTGTATAGAAAAGGGTTTAGTTATAGGTAATACATATTTTAAGAAAAAGAGGATAAATAAGTATACAAGATATGATGTAGGGCGAAATGATAGTAGTTTGTTGGATTATGTATTGGTAGATAAAAGACTGTTGAGTAGACTTCAGGATGTACATGTTTATAGAGGGGCCACAGATATATCAGATCACTTTTTAGTTGTAGCTACACTGAGAGTAAAAGGTAGATGGGATACAAGGAGAATAGAAGCAGCAAGTAAGAGAGAGGTGAAGGTTTATAAACTCAAAGAAGAGGCAGTTAGGGTAAAATATAAACAACTATTGGAGGATAGATGGACTAGTGAGAGTATAGGCAATGGGGTTGAAGAGGTATGGGGTAGGTTTAAAAATGTAGTGTTAGAGTGTTCAGCAGAAGTTTGTGGTTACAAGAAAGTGGGTGCGGGAGGGAAGAAGAGCAATTGATGGAATGATGATGTAAAGAGAGCAGTAAGGGAGAAAAAGTTAGCATATGAGAGGTTCTTACAAAGTAGAAGTGATGCAAGGAGGGAGGAGTATATGGAGAGAAAAAGAGAGGTTAAGAGAGTGGTGAGGCAATGTAAAAAGAGAGCAAATGAGAAAGTGGGTGAGATGTTATCAACAAATCTTGTTGAAAATAAGAAGTTTTGGAGTGAGATTAACAAGTTGAGTAAGCCTAGGGAACAAATGGATTTGTCAGTTAAAAATAGGAGAGGAGAGTAATTAAATTCATGAGGCAGTGAGTAGCATAAAAAGGGGTAAGACAGCCGGGATTGATGGGATATAGATAGAAATGTTAAAAGCAGGTGAGGATATAGTTTTGGAGTGGTTGGGGCTATTATTTAATAAATGTATGGAGGAGGTTAAGGTACCTAGGGATTGGCAGAGAGCATGCATAGTTCCTTTGTATAAAGGCAAAGGGGACAAAAGAGAGTGCAAAAATTATAGGGGAATAAGTCTGTTGAGTATACCTGGTAAAATGTATGGTAGAGTTATTATTGAAAGAATTAAGAGAAAGATTTAGAGTAGAATAGCAGATGAACAAGGAGACTTTAGGAAAGGTAGGGGGTGTGTGGACCAGGTGTTTACAGTGAAACGTATAGGTGAACAGTTTTTAGATAAGTCTAAAGAGGTTTTTGTGGCATTTATGGATTTGGGAAAGGCATATGACAGGATGGATAGAGGACAGTGTGGTAGATGTTGCAGGTGTATGGTATTGGAAATAGGTTACTGAAAACAGTGAAGAATTTTTACAAGGATAGGCTCAGGTTAGAGTATGTAGGAAAGAGGGAGATTATTTCCCAGTAAAAGTAGACCTTAGACAAATATGTGTGATGTCACTGAGGTTGTTCAGTATATTTACAGATGGAGTTGTGAGAGAAGTGAATGCGAGAGTCTTGGCAAGAGGTGTGGAGATAAAAAATAAAGAATCAAACACAAACTGGGAGTTGTCACAGTTGCTCTTTGCTATTGGAAGATTTTGAAGAGAAGTTGCAGAGGTTGGTGGATGAATTTGGTAGGGTATGTAAAAGAAGAAAATTGAAAGTGAATACAGGAAAGAGTAAGATTATGAGGATAACAAAAAGATTAGGTGACAAAAGACTGGATATCAGATTGAAGGGAGAGAGTATGGAGGAGGTGAATGTATTCAGATATTTGGGAGTGGATGTGTCAGCAGATGGATCTATGAAAGATGAGGTGAATCATAGAATTGAAGATAAGAAAAGGGTGAGTGATGCACATAGGAGTCTGTGGAGACAAAGAACTTTGTCCATGAAAGCAAAGAGGGGAATGTATGAGAGTACAGTTTTACCAACGCTCTTATATTGGTGTGCAGCATGGGTGATGAATATTGGAATGAGAAGGCTGGAGGCAGTGGAGATGTCATGTCTGAGGGCAATGTGCTGTGTGAATATAATGCAGAGAATTCGTAGTTTGGAAGTTAGGAGGAGGTGCGGGATTACCAAAACTGTTGTCCAGAGGGCTGAGGAAGGGTTGTTGAGGTGGTTCGGACATGTAGAGAGAATGGAGCGAAACAGAATGACTTCAAGAGTGTATCAGTCTGTAGTTGAGGGAAGGCGGGGTAGGGGTCGGCCTAGGAAAGTTTGAGGGAGAGGGTAAAGAAGGTTTTGTTTGCGAGGGGTTTGGACTTCCAGCAAGCATGCATGATGATATTTGATAGGGGTGAATGGAGACAAATGGTTTATAATACTTGATATGCTATTGGAGTGTGAGCAAAGTAACATTTATGAAGGGATTCAGGGAAACTGGCAGGCTGGACTTGAGTCCTGGAGATGGGAAGTACAGTGTCTGCACTCTGAATGAGGGGTGTTAAGTAGTCAGGAAGCCATTAAATTAAGTCTACCCATAATGCCTAGGCATGATAGTGGCTCTTTGCTCTCCAACTCATTATTGTAAATACATAATCTCAATGTACTACTTGTAAATAAATAAAATTGATTGATTGATTGATTAATGGCGTCATCACTGCAGTGGTCACAACACAGTACTCATGGTGGCACCTCGGTAGTGACACCACTGCAGTGGTCACAACACAGTACTCATGGTGCACTTCTGTTGTGACATCATTGTAGTGATGGTGACACCACTGTAGTGGTCACAACACAGTATTCATGGTGCACTTGTGTAGTGACACCACTGTAGTGATGATGAGACCTGTACTGATAGTGAGATTCCACTTCAGTGAGGGCAAAACACCAATCTATTGATGGTGACACTACTGCAATGAATGTGACTTCATTGTATTGATGATGATATACAGCAGTGCTATTGACACACATCAGTGATAGTACAGATGTAACAGTGAACTAGAGAGTCAATACAACACCACAGTCCTCCACAGTCACATCTGTGATGTCACTGTGGTTGACTGCTGCCCTCAACACATCCAGGCCTCTCACCACCTTACCAAAGATATTGACCCACTGGCCATTATCTGTGCGATCCCTGGTGATGATGAAGAACTGTGTACTCTTGCTACTCCATGGGTTATACCATGATCCCACAGCACCAGCACTGCCTGACTTCTGGTACTGGTAACCATGCTGGTGAGTCAGCAGTGGTGCTCCTCCCTCACCATTATTATTCTGGTAGTCTCCACCCAACACATGCTCCCCTGACCCACCCTTGTTCCTCAACTCCAACAGTTTAGTGTTGAGGTAGGAGGAGCCTGACTGATGCTGTCCAGTACACAACAACAAAAACTGTTTGGCCAGCATGGTGTCAGTATCCAGCTTGATGTGGAGTCTTCGTCTGGGTGATCCAGGCCAGGCCAGGTCAAGAAATACCAGAGTGGAGGACGACTCCAGGGCCTCCATCACCTCCGTCACCTTCATAAACAAACATCATCATTAACTACAATGTTAATACTTTACCTACAATAAATGTTCAATTATAATTATCACTAATTATTAAAATTTTATTATTACTTTCTTCTTCTTTTAATTATTATTATTATTATTATTATTATTATTATTATTATTATTATTATTATTATTATTATTATTATTATTATTATTGTGGATATTTATTCAGTCCTAAAAGTTCCACAGGGCAGATATGCCGTACAAAGATCCCATCAGGCCGTTTATGGAACGGCTGAGTTGGGTGGCCCTTACACCCACCCAAAACACACACACACACCCGGGTTGGAGGTGGTTGGAAGGTACTTCTTAATTGATAGATTTACCCTTCAAGGAAGAAGTAGGTAGTTTATACTGTTAGTACACTAATATTACGATTATTGAGGCAACTGTAGATAATAATGTAGATCTAAGACCTTAACATAGGTAGTAATAGGGCGATAATGTAGGCAAACACTAGGTTATGTTAGCCAGGGAGAACTGGCAGCCCAAGTTTGAATACTGGGGCACGGATTTGAAACAGCAGTGCCCTTTCTTCTAAGACTAGACACCCATACTAGAATTGGAGAAATCTGGTGGAGGCACCTTCACATACCATAGATGACCTTCTCCATCAGGCCCATACAGTAAGACAAGACCTCCCTTTTTTTCTGCGAGATTCTGGCCAGTGTCTGGGGAAAACTGTGAGTGAGTTGAGCTGTGGGCTTTGTGCAGGCAGCAGTTCATGACCAGTACATACCGGCGTCACTCCTTCAGACTTAGAAGCTAGTGTCCATTTCTGCATAGTTATGCTAGGGGATACACACCCCCTTGGAAAGGAGGGCTCTGATACTATGGAGACTGAGGCTGTACTGGTGATGCAGAGTGGTCTGCAGGAAGATCTATCGGAGTCAAGTCGACCTAGCTGACGGTGAGCCATTCTATAAACTATGGGACCTGGATGTAGTAGGGATTAAGGGTGAGCAACCGCCCCCAGAACACAAAGAGACATATCAAAATTACTTGAACCATGTGCAGTTCAAGGAGTACTGGGTGTGACTCCAATGGAAACCGGTACACCCAACGCTGCCCACTAATTTCAAGAAGGCATGGGGTCAGTTGAATTCATCGGTGAACAGCCTGACCAAGAAGGGTCTGGTGGGAAAATATGATGACATTATTAAGGAACAGTTGGCTCTCAGGTTCATTGAGAAAGTACCCAATGCCAGCTCTGGGGAAAACACCCATTATCTTCCACACATGGCAGTCACCAAGGAGTCAGTAACCACTCCCATCTGAGTGGTCTTCAACTGCATCTCACAGGTGAGTGTCCCAGATCCATCGTTGAATGACTGTCTGCTCACAGGGCCCTCCCTGATGCAAAAATTAGCAGATGTGTTGTTGAGATTCAGGACAGAGCAGTATGCCTATGTGGCAGATATCAGCAAAGCCTTCCTACGGATTGGGTTGCAGCCACAAGATAGGGACTACACAAGGCTCTTGTGGTTGGCTAACAGGGAGGTGCCCGAGCAAGGGTATGGTACCTACAGATTCATGACGGTGTTGTTTGGCGCCACTAGTACACCATTCCTATTACAGGCCACCATAGACTACCACCTTGTGAACTGTAACAGCCCGCTTAAAGAATTACTGAAGACCCTATTTTATGTAGACAACATGCAAGGTACCACCTCAGATGAAAGGCTGTTGATGGACATTTACCGAGAGTCTCATCAGGAGATGCTCTCGGCTAACATGCCATTGAGAGAATGGGTGACAAACAATCCAATCGTTGCGAGGCACGGTGGAACGTGACTATGCTGGCTACTCAGTACCTGAGGTAACATCGGTGTTTGGGCTGGAGTGGGAAATCAAGGAAGACAGACTTAGGCTAAAGAGGAAACCTGATGGGGAAGGGAAGCTGACCAGGAGGTTCTTGCTGAGTAGAGTGCAGACTGCCTTCGATCCTTTGGGTTTGTTGACACCCATCACCATTCGAGGGAGGATGCTAGTGCAACAGACCTGGGAGCTGAACCTAGGTTGGGATGACTCACTGCCAAAAACAGTCTGCCAGGAGTGTGATCTGGTTAGTAAAGATCTAGCAGAATTGCATGAGTTCACATTCCCCAGGTCCCTCGGGTGCACCGGGCAAGACTATGACTTGCATGTCTTCTGTGATGCCTCTTCCAGGGCCTATGGGGCAGTACCATACTTGGTGGCTAGGGACCAGGTCAATCTGGCCACCAGCCGAGTGCGGGTGACACCCCTGAGGGATTGTTCGATCCCAAAGCTAGAGCTCATGGTGATGTTGCTGGGAGCAAGACTGGTGAAGTATGTAAAGGAGGTGTTGAGTAACCTGAGGGTGACACACACCTATGTATGGGCAGACTCGGAGGTGGCCTTATAGTGGGTCCAGAACAACAGGTCCAAGCCCCACTATGTCAGGAATCGGGTAAAGGAGATACGGGACCTACAGTCAATGTTGACAATTCTGTATGTGTTTATGGAACGGCTGAGTTGGGTGGCCCTTACATCTACCCAAAACACACACACACACCCGGGTTGGCAAAGGTGGTTGGAAGGTACTTCTTAATTGATAGATTTACCCTTCAGGGAAGAAGTAGGTAGTTTATACTGTTAGTACACTAATATTAGGATTATTGAGGCAACTGTAGATAATAATAATGTAAACCTAAGACCTTAATGTAGGTAGTAATAGGGCGATAAAGTAGGCAAACACTAGGTTATGTTAGCCAGGGAGAACTGGCAGCCCAAGTTTGAATACTGGGGCACGGGTTTGAGACCGCAGTACCCTTTCTTCTACGACTAGACACCATCAGAGCAGATAGTGCCATGAACAGCAGGCTGCGCCCCCACGTGTCTTCACATTCTAGACCTGGGGAAATCTGGTGGAGGCACCTCGACATACCGTAGATGACCTCCTCCGTCAGGCCCATACAGAAAGACAAGACACCCCTTTTTTCTGTGAGATTCTGGCCAGTGTCTGGGGAAAATTGCGAGTGAGCTGAGCTGTGGGCCTTGTGCAGGCAGCAGTTCATGACCAGTATGTACCAGCGTCACTCCTTCAGGCTTAGAAGCTAGTGTCCATTTCTGCATAGTTATGCTAGAGGACACACACCCACTTGGAAATAGGAATTTCTGAGGTGCAAGCAGGTCACTAATGTCGACTGAATATTGCAGGAATTAAGGCTCGCGGTTGCACGTGGTTCTGAGGGGAAATCCAGAGGGGCTAAAACTTAGGGATGTTGAAGACGAGACATATTCTTCAACACCAAGTAAGTTAGTCCTTTAAACGTGCATGCAGGCGAGATTTCTTGCAACATCAGTCATTTATGAAAATCTGTCCTATAAGCCACTTGTGAGGCTGAGGTACCGACCTCAGAGCTCAGTGTCAACAAAGCTTGCCAGAGTAGACAACTCACGTGGAGGCAGTCCAGACAAATTTTCACAATTATTATTATTATTATTATTATTATTATTATTATTATTATTATTATTATTATTATTATTATTATAAATGTTGAATTAAAATTATCTGTCTTTTACTAAAATAGTTTCCTTTTATTATTTTTATTAATAACTATTATAAATATTAAGAGATAATTATAATTCAATATTTATAAAAAAGAAATAATAAAAATAATAATAATTTTTCAAAATAAAATGATAATACTACTACTGAGTGTGGGGCTTGCCAGCGATGGCGTGTCAGCGTGCCTCATTGTGCTCCGGGTTTTCTTGTGTTTTCACAGTCGCTCTTACGTGCTAGAACTTTAATTTGTGTCATCAATCCTATACGATACATCCCTCTAGCGCCTAGAACCAATCTTGGGCGGAAAACATTATATACTGAGTCAAAAAAGGAGAATAAGTGTGCACAACCTAGCAAAGTTTACTACCAGAGGGGAATCATAGGCCTGGGTGCCGTGTGAAAAAAATAATAATAATTGAACTTTTCGTGTCAGAGGAAAGAAAGTCTCCCTGATAACATTGAGTATACATAGTGTATAGTGTATACTACAGTGGCTCCCTAGTATATTGATGATAAAGGCTAAAGTGTCATTTGAAAACAGGTGAATTTGTAAATGAAGTGATAAGCCTATAGAGGCAGGTGCCAGAAGTCACCAGAACTTACCACAGGTCAGCTGTTTTTAATAATCTTCCTAGCTTGCTAGTGTACTCGCATATAATCTAGTGATACTAGTGAATAGCAGAATACAGTGTTGTAGTAGCAACTAACCAGTATTATAATGGTACTTGGTGGAGTGGAGTGACTTTCATTAGTTTCTTTTTTCTTAAAATACCAGACATATACTGTGAATTTCATATAACCTGTAGTTACCAGCGGTCGCAATATACACAACGAGAAGCAAATATTACTACAGAAAAAGCGTCCTTCCTCCAAAATTTCCACCAGTCAACTATAGTGATAATATAGCATTTATTGTGGTGGAGACGGAAAAAAAAAATAGAAAAGCTAGATACAGCGATTGATAAACAAGGGTGGAGGTCGACCGTTCGTCATTGTAGGAGCTGCCAGCAGTCACCGGCTCTTCAACACGCAAGTTATACTTTTGTATCAATCAAATCACATATTACTCGGGTAGATAATTTCCAGTAGATCCTTCATGTGTTAGCCCAAATCACCGACCAGTATGTTTTAAATAAGCGACCCACTGATCAGATCAGATCGACTGGTCCGAACCCTTGACTGGTCCGAACCCTTGACTGGTCCTAACCCTTGAATGGTCCAAACCCTTGACTGGTCCGAACCCTTGACTGGTTTCAAACGGTTTCGTTGGACAATAAAGCAGACTGTAAACGGATGGGGTTGTAGGCGCCCTTATAAACACAAACATTAAATATATATCAGGAACGTGCATGGAAAGCTGTCCAATATACAAAAACAGTTAGAAACAGAAATACAAATAGCTAGAGCTTCATTTAAGGAGGTTATTAATAGAATATTCAAGAGGTTGCTAGTAGAATTGC